TCCCCAGAAAACACCGGTAAAGGCAAAGGGAAACAGAACAGAAGAAGACTCAGGAGGGGGTAAAAAGACCTTTTGTAAGTCATTAAATGGGAAATATCAGCGCTGGGAGTTCCAGGGAGTTTTTTTCCCCCCTCAAAGGGCTGAGTCAAAAATCAACTCGGGGACAGCTTTCCCGGCAGCGTTACAGCCTCGCTGCCCCTTTCCCAGCGCAGACACACATCCATCCCCCCCAAGAAGGTTTTTTACGGCCCCAGTAGAAGAGCAGAGAGTCAGGAACCCATCAGTCAGCGCGTTAAGAGCCCGAGGCCACATCCCAGCTGGTCTCCCCACTGGAAGGACACGCTCCCCTCTGCCCACACCTGCTGCTCTCCCCCACTCTCCTCAGCTCATCATCCTCCTCCTCCTCCTGAAGCTGTCAAGGCTCTGACAGACACACCCCCTGAAGGAAGGATGGACAGCCCGCCCGGAGATTTACCACAGGCAGCAGGATGGGGCACCAGCAGGCGCCTGGCAATAAAACAGGGATATTTACTGGAGACTTTTGCCTAAATGGGTCCATTAAAAGATCGTCTGCATGCAAATACCTACAAGAAATCAATCAACCTCGGAATTGCTTCCAAGAGGCTCAGAAGATGGGCATGCCCCAGGAAGATTTAAATCTACCCCAAACCCCTTCACCTCAGTAAGCTTTCAGAAGACAGTGTTGCTCAGCAGATACAGAGGAGGAAGGTGTTTTTAAGCAGCACAATCTGATGGCAAATTGGTGCTTTATCCAAGAGACTCAGACCTGCAGGGACACAGGCTTTGCCTTCCTTATGTATAAACATGTCCTCTAGCAAACCTCACAGGAGAAGAGGTTCCTGTTAAAGGCAGTTTTAAAGACTTATTTACATTTAACACACTCCTCTAGTCACAGCATTGCCCCGATGTATCCCTTGTTCCCCCTGCATCCCTACTCAATCCTAAAGGATTTTCACTAATTTTTTTGCTTCCCACAAGGGTTTCATTGCCCAAAAATACACACTTTTAAGACTAGTTTTGATAATCCAGACCTCTTAAACAAGTGGAAGTGTCCCATTGCTGATTTTTGGAGAACACAGCACCAGTCCTCTTGTCATTCCTGAGGAGCACAAGTCACCTGGATATGAAGTTCTGCTCCGTGGATGTACCTAAACAGTGTCCCCCACTGCAGTGTGACCTCCCCAACGCCCCAGTCCTGAGCCAGGCAGGAAAAAAAAAAAAACTTGATAGCTTTGAGGCTCAGCAGGCACTAAAGGATCAAACCACAGATTGTGTGCAAGGAGCTGGCCGTTCCCCCGAGGAAGGGAAATGATGAGAGGGAGGTCTTAAGTTCTGCCACGGCCACTCGGGCAGATGAAACCCCAGAACTCATTTCCCACAGTGGCTGCCTGTGAAAATAAAGCATCACATACTGGGAGGATAAAGCAGGAAGCATCCTCCTGCCTGCTCCCTCCTCCTCCTCCTCCTCCAGGCAAACACACACCCACACACAGGCTCGGGGATCACAAATGCCTGTTTTCCAAGCCCTGAACGATCCCCCCCTTTCCCCAGCTCCCTCCAGAACACCCAGAGCGATAAAACCACGGAATAAAGAGTCACAACCCCCCCCTCACACACACACAAAACCCCCCTCATCCACACTGGATTTTCCAGGAGCAGCTGGCTGCCCGGGTTGACTCATCGCAATTTAGCCCACCCAAACAATTAATATCCGAGGGTGCCTCCCAGAGGTGAGCTGCAAGAGGAAGCCACCCTGTAAATCCAGAGCCACGAAGCTGCTTTTAACAGGATCTCTATTCCCCATCCAGCCGATTTCTTGGCCAGCAGGACAATCTGAGCAGCAAGGGAATAACAACACTTTGGGGTTTGGCTGGCAGACTACTGGGCTATTCTCTCCGCCCCCCCTTTTTTTTTTTTTTAAAGGTTGTTTTGTTGGACCCTGTAAAACAAGTGATTTAAGACTCTCAAGGATTTCTTGCCTCAGTGCTGCAACAGAGAGGAGTGAAAGCCAATACCTCCAGAGATCCCACAAGCTGGCAAAGGCCCAAGAACAGACCAGTTGAGGCTCCTCAGCAGACTTTTCCTGAAACATCTAAATAATTTAGAAAGCATTAACTCTCACTGACAGCTCCTTCCCTTGCAGGGCCCTATCAGAAGCCTCATCGCTCTTAATCCAAAAGGATACAGACACTGCAACAGCCCAAAAATCTTGGTCAGGGGTTGAATAAGGCTTTCAAAAGGTGCCTGGGGTATTTTCCTCTGCTGAAATGCCTCCCTTGCACAGGCAGGTCTTCCAGAGGCCACCACCTGCCACTTATCTGCAGTGGCACTGTGTAAAACAGGCAGAAATGGTTAAGAGACAGTCTGTCAACATTTCCCTTGCTCGGGGCTATTCAGAGGAAGGGAGCTGTTCCCTGGAGTGCTTCAACTGTGTAAATACTGTAAAAATTAAGCAGCACTGAGGTGTAAACTAGTAGCTCTAAGCCCTTCTTTGGGGTCAAGTAGAAGAGATGCTGCAGCACCTCCCATTTCAAACCACAGCATCTTCCCCCCCACCCCAGGGGGCCAGGGTCATGTTTTGGAACAAAGTGCATTTTTATAAAGTTCTTTTTCCCCCTCCCTATGTTATCACCAACAGAGATAAAAAGGGCTGCTAAAGATGCAGCAGTGGCTGGGCCAAGCTCTTCCAGCAAAGTTATTCTCGTGCCCCTTCCCACCACCCTCTCCCCTCAAAAAGCATCTGAATGGAGCAGGGGACCAGCTCTAACCCCCACAAAACCACAAGTCAGGCCAAACCCAAGATCTCCGCTGGAAGTGGCAGCAGAGCACTGAGCCCAGGCCACCTGATCAACAAACACATTTCCAGTCGTGGTTCCAATCAAGACACAGAAAGCAAAAACCTCCTCCTGCCACGGAAAACGAGAGCAGCCCAAAGGAGACCCAAACTGCAACACAGCCTCAACCATCCCCTCAGAACCAAGGTCTGCAATTCCCAGCAGGATAACACAAATCACCTCGTGCAGTTTTCCACGTTTAGCAGCCACAAAACAACATCAGGGACAAGGGGAACACAGGTGGGGGGGGCAGAGGCGGCAGCACCACATCCCATTTTGCCGCCCGTCATCGATCCAAAACAACAAATGCCCCAGTCCCAGTGATGAAATAATTGCAGACTGGCACCCCATAAGATAATGCCAGTCATTAGGACGTTGTTTATGGTTCAGCTATGTGGCTCCCATGGCTACAGCAACAGCGATGAGATGCTGGTGAGCATTTCAGAGACATCACACACATGCATTTTGTCTTCACTCAGTTTTTTGCCCAAGTGAAGCATCACCACGTAAAGCCCCACAGGCAGGGATGTTTCAGCACTAATTAAGAGAGAAAAAGCAGAACAGGTAAGCAGCTCTCCTGTGCTCACCTCGAAACTAAATTCCAAGCCCCGGAATCCAGCCCTCTGGTGAATGTAAATGGAGTTCAGGAGCTATCCTCCCACCCTTAAACACAGCAGACACCCAGCACAGGCAACAGATACCATCACCAAGCAGCAAAGCCCATTGAAAACGCATCAAGCCCTGCCTTACTTCGGCGAATTAAATAATTCAAGAGCCGGCAGGGCTGTTTTTTTTTTTTTTTTTTAGATTTCCTGTCCAAACGCATCGCCCGGCAACAGAGCAGCGCTCCAGCAGCTGGAGGAGGTTTTGGTAAGACCACAACTTACCTGCACCACTCCTTTAACGGAGATGCTGCTCCGACAGCTTACCCCCTCCCCACCCCGCCCCAAAACCCGGATCCACCACACTCGTTCCCAAATCCCCGCTCGCTCAGGTGGCCGAGGCGGCGGTCCGTGCTTTTTCTGCGGCTCCGGCGTTAATCCATCCAGAGCATCTTTCCCCCTCACTTCCAATTGGCGAGCGGCGGATGGGTGGAGTGAGAGCGCGACCCGTTAGCTCCCAGCTGGGGCTCCTCGATCCCGCTGATCCCACACACACCTGCACGCCACCCTCGGCACATGCCCCCAAAACCAGGGATCTGGGATTTCTCCCCTCCCGGCCGCCTTCTCGGAGCTCTTTCGCCTCTACCAGGCAGGAGGAAAAAAGGAGGGTAATTAAAGCGACCCAGCGGTCGGGAGCCGCGGAGTTTTGCTGGATGCTATAAGGGAGAAAGCTCCTGTTCCTCCTTTAAAAAAAAAAAAAAAAAAACACCACCAAACCCAGCTTCGCGGCAGCCAGGCTCAACTGAAGTGAGAAGATGCTGTACCTTACAGAGAGGAGTACAGGGAAAAGCCCAGAGGATGTGAAGATGCACGGAGAGAATGGGGAGAAAAAAAAAAACCTGCTGCTCAGAGGTAGATACAGCAAATTTCTTAAAGATACAGCTGCCTGCCCGACTGCCGGGCTCGGGTGGTTCATCCGGGCAGCAGTGCAAGGGTTAATGCGTGAATTCAATGAGCAGCCTGCGTATGGGAACGAGAAACGGGGCAGTGGAGTCCGTGCTCCAACAGCAAGTCCCAGAAAATAAAGCTGAAAGACCTCACCTCACCACCCGAGGAGACTTGTATCCCAAAACTCTCAGCCCAGCGCTGGACCTAAAAAGGTTTGGAGGGAAGATGCCACATCCTCTCCCCCCCTGCTCCAGCCTATTCTACTGCTTCACTTTCCTTACAATTCCAGATTTTCATCACAATAAGCCAAGGCTCCCCCCCAGCTGAATATTTAAAACTCAGAGGAACGGTCTATGCTGGCCAAATAAATAAATAAATAAATAAATAAAACCAGAAGGAAAAAAAACCCCAAACTCCCCAAAGACACATCAATTCAGCCTTAGAAGAAGGCAGAACCCTAAAAGAATAAGACAGAAATAAATTGGTGCATTATCCAAATGCTGGCACAAGGCTGGCTCGCTCCCCCCTACAGTAACTCTGACAATTCCTGTTGAGACTTCAGTCAAAAAAATAAAAGATTCCCAGAGATGTTTACCGGGAGGCAGCGAACGTTTCTTCCCGGAGCAAAGCAAGGAGAGGCAGGACCCGGCTCGGGAAGGGGCATCACTGCCAGCAGAGGGAATCAGTCAGAGCCTCCATACCCCCCATCTCCAGTCCCTGCCACGGACTTGTTTCCGCTGCACGAAACCACAGGCAATGCATGTTTTTAAACACCTCCCACGCGTTTTCCCTGCCGAGACTGCTCATCCAGTCTCCTCCATAGGGGTTTTTTTTAATTATTTATTTATTTTTTTGCATGCCACCTGACGAGCTTTTCCAGGTGAGACACACCATATTCCGACTGGCAACAAGATGCAAAGGAAGTACAGAGTGGCTCATGAAGTGTTGAGGGTGGAAGAGACCCTGGGAGGTCTCCATTCCCAATCCCTGCTCCAGAGGAAAAAAAAAAACACCTTTAAAGAGAAATCAGGCTTGCTCAGGACTTCACCTCGTTTAGCCTGATACCCTCGCCCAAGAAAGTTTTCTGGGAAGTCAAGACTCCCATCCTTAGGATCAGCACTTACAGCAGAGCTCAGTTTCTAAACCATCAGGATTCGCCAAGTCTTCCCATACAGATTTTTTTACATTACAGAAAAAATTGAACCAAACTGCTATTTTGAGGTAATTCCTTGTAACGAGGCAAATCAGCTTTAGAAAAAACTTAATACCTTCCTCTGTGCCCACACTTGATACCTTCAACAACAGTCTAAAGGACAGAGCTGACAGCATCCCAACCCTGAAGGTGAAATGAGCCTCCAGCAGGTATTTCAGGTTTCAAACACTGCCGGATTCATTTCACCCAGTGAACGAGCTTATGAAACAAAAGACTGGCTCAGATCCTCTCCTATTCTTGCTTTTTTTTCCCCCTCGTGCTGAGGTTGTTTATCAGCCCTCCCTGGCCAGCCTGGGTGTAGCAGGGACCGGAGCTCGGTGGAGTTGACAAGTGACAAAGCCGGTGGACCAGGAGAGGTCCAAGAGGGGAGTGCAACGACACGGCCATGCCAAGTCACCCACTGAGTCCTGCCTGCACTGACATGGCCACGCCAACCCACCTGCCGAGTCCTGCCTGCACCAACACAACCACACCAGCCCATCCACTGAGCCCCACCTGCCTCTTGACCCACCATCTCCAAAGCCTCCTCAACTCTCCCTGGGTTTTCTCTGCCACCTCGTGCCACCCCCCCCCTTGTCCGGTCCCCAACCCCTGGTCACGCACCGTCCACTGGCCTGCTCCACCTCTGGGACAAGCGCTGTGGCCACTGGGCCAGATCCTGGGAAGAGCCCCCAGCGCTGTCCCCGAACTGGCCGTAGGGCGAGCGCAGGAAGGTGAGCCGGGGGTAGCAAAAAGGCGCCGGCTCCATCAGGACGGAGAAGAGAGGAGAGCCAGGTACGAAGCAAACCGCGTCCCCCTTCGCCTCCTTCCCCGGGTACTGGTGGGACATGCAGCCTCAGAGCCTTCTCCCAGACAAGTTCCCTCTTTGGAGGAGGAATCAGTGCGAAACAAACAAAAAAACTTAAAAAAAAAAATGATAATAAAATACAAAATAAAGCCTCCAGAGCAGCTCTGCTGCTGCTGTCACAGCCCAGCAGAGCTCACTGGCAGAGCAGCGTCTCCAGCCTGTATTTAAACGCCCCTCTCAGAAAGCAGAGATGCAGCACAGGAAGAGACAAATTCCAGCCCTGCGTCGGGCTGATAAGCCAGGTTTATAATATTCAAGGAGTATTGGCATTACTACAGTTCCTCCCCCCCCCCGCACCCCCCTCTCTCTCTCCAACGAATATCTTGTGCAGGAGCTTGTTGTGCACAAAAAAAAAAAAAAAAAAAAAAAAAAAAAAAAAAAAAAAAAAAAAAAAAAAAAAAAAAAAAAAGGGAAAAAAAAAATCAGGCTGTTCCGGTGGGAACAGCCAACACGTTGAATAAAACAAACACACGCGTGTTAAGCCCTGGGGACGCAATTAGGCTCGGAGCAGGGGGGTGAAGAGGCAGTTTAAACTCCTGGAGAAGGAGATGGCAGAGGGAGAGAGGAAAAGGAGAATCAACCAGGTGCCTGACACTGCGTCCCCTCGGGTGTCTCTTCCCAGGGGAATGACAAGAAGCAGCAGGGTGCCACCACGAGGGGAGGAAGGTCACCTCCTCCTCAGCCCCATCCTCCTCATTTCCACCCCTGATTTCCACCCCAGTGGTAACTCACTCCACCCTCACTGCACACCCCCAGACAGAGGTTGCCCAGCTCTAAACCATCTCAACCATCCATCAGCCAGCTGAGATCTTCTCTCCACCAGCTCCAAATGGGAGTTCTCCCCCCACCAACAGCCCACGTTAACACCACTCAAATCCATCTCACCACGGGATGCCCCCAGGGCAGCCACAGCCCCACGAGCCTTCCTGCTGCCACTTGCATCAGGCCCTTCAAACCTGGGGAACCCAAAAGCACGTGTGGGGAAGAAAAGTTCTCACCCAACATAAAAAAAAAAAAACAAATTGTTGCTGCCCACTCCACTGGCCAGGTTTTCCTTCTTTTCTCCCCATCTTTTTGCAGTTTCTCAGCAGGGCATCTCTGAGGATTGAAACTGGACTCTTCCCTCTGTTCCTTACCCAAATCACAGCTCCCACTGGTTCAGCAGAGCTTGCAGACCTTCCTACAGCAACAGAGGAAGACTTCAAGCCCTCAGCACTGCTGGTTTTAATTGCAAGTCAGAGCCAGGGCTGAATTTAGAAAGGAGGGAATAGCAAAACCCACGGAGTTATAAGTGACAGCAAAGCTCTTTGATATCAAAGCCAGCACTGACAGATGCAGGAGCCCGCAGTGCTCTGCTCTGGGCCAGCATGTCACCGTGCTCTGCAGAGAGGCTTTGTGGGGAGCTTAGCCCAGATCATATTTAGAAAGTTATACTGCAGTAAAATTAAAGGAAAAAAAAAAAAACACACACACACACAAAAAAAACACCTAAGAGCTTTTCAGCATCACCAGGTCCCAGCACCAACTCCTGAAGGAGCTTGCTTGGCAGATTTCATGATCTCAGACCCCAGTCGGGATGGACTGGGAGGAGTTGCCTCGGCATTCCCAGTTTTTAACCACACTGTATCCTTCACAGCAGGCTCCCCACCCGGCGAGAGCACAGTGCTGGCCGTAAAGGTAAGGAGGATTTACCACAGGCTGCCTGTCTGCTGGGGCGCTTGGCAGGGATTTGCATATTTACAGGGTAGATGACAGTTTCATGACGATGAGTCATTAAAGTGTCCCGAGTGCTGTTTACTCCCAGAGCAATCCTACATAAGGAAACAGGACTTTTCCAGAAGTGGTTTCTCATTAGGAGGAGACAACTCGAGTGCCACCCGGACCTACAGCCACAGAAAGGTTTTGGGCAGCAAGCGCTGTGGCTTCCCAGAGACTCCCAAACCACAGCACGGGTATTAGAATTCCTAAAAACCCACCAAAACAAACAGTTTTCTCCCCCCAGGTAATGTGATTTAGTACCTATCTTCAGGCAGAGCATCACCACAGTTCTGCAAGGACAAAATCTGAGGTTTGTCTTATACAGGCAAATAAAACAGCACCAGGTTAAGCCTGATAACTCTGGATTGAATTCCAAGTTGGCAACTCAAACTCAGCCTTGACTCTAATCCTTACCTCAGCTCCCTTCTGCAAGAAACATCACGCTACACAACAAACAAGCAAATCAAACAGCACCAGGCTGTCTGATGATTACGGATTAAATGCCAACTTTTCAGCTCAAATCTGACCTCTTACCTCAGCTCCCTTCTGTTGAACTATCCCACTCCTCTTTAGGCCAACACAGACGACTTTCATTGCGGATCCTTTTCCTTTTAAACCCAAAGACATCTTTGTTTTCACACTGACTCAACACAGAGCTAAATCTTGTTTTAATAACTGTTTACAGCCTTCAGTGATTTGCTGCAGCTTTACTAGAAGTCGAGGCACTACGGGGTTTACACAGGGAGACCTTCCGAGCGAAGAGAGGGCTCCGCTCGAAACCCCGACTCGCCTTTCTGCGGGCATTTATTTACACAAGCTGGAGCATTCCAAGTGCCAAGGAACACCAGGAGAGCCCGAGAGGAACTCCCTCTGTGGTCCATCACCCTCGCAGAGCGGCAACTGCTCAAAAGCCACAGACGTCGCCAAACTGGAGGGCTCTGGCTGAGCTGGATTAGCCAAAGCATCCCGATCATAGCAGGGGAGCAGCGGCTCACAGGGGTGGTGGCAGTGACTGAGGTCTGGACTGGAGTGTTACATCGCTGTTCCCTCCCAAAAAAAAGCAGCCACAAAACCAACAACAGCGGCCCAGGTGAGAAGGGGGAGATCCTGGGTCAAGGAGTTGCTTCAGCTCCGGCACTGGAGGGGCAGTAAGTTGGCAGAGGAGCGACAAGGGGGGACACACACCTCCTGAAAACCCACAGGAAAGTCCTCCAAATACTGAAACAACTCAAGCAAGAAGTTACATATTCCCTGGAGATTGTTCACATGCATATCTGCACAGAGAAGCTGTGGCTGCCCCTGGATCCCTGGAAGTGTCCAAGGCCAGGTTGGAGCAACCTGGGCTGGTGGAAGGTGTCCCAGCCCGTGGCAGGGGGATGGAATGAGACGGTCTTTAGGGTCCCTTCCAACCCAAACCATTCCATGATTTTATATGGCTGCTGGACAGCCATTGGCACCATCAGGACTCGAGTGACAGCAACGGCCACAGACACGAGAAAGCGGCAAAGCAAACCTTTCAGGAAGAACGTCAGACCCAAAGCAAAACTTTTCTCATTAAACCGGGAAGGGAAAAGACCCGAAGGCGCAATCCTCGCCGAGAACAGATCCACGGGAGCTGTTCCGGGACGGCCTCCCGCTCGGCAAAGCTGCTGTGCCACCTACAGTTACTTCGGGTCCAGAACAAAAACCCTTTTCCTCGGCGACCCCGAGTCCCCGTCACTGATCCGAGTGTCACCCGGCGCTGCCGCGGCCATGCCGGTGAAGGAAGCGCTTCCTTTGGCAAGGCTGGGGCGGGGAGGGGAGGGGGGGGAAGGCACCGCGGAAAAGAACTTTTAGAGTTCATCATAAATCAGAAAGCGAGTTTCCAAGCGCATTGAAACCCACCCCCTCCCACCGCGTTTCGAATAAACTCATCGCCGAGGTCTTCCC